AAGGCTATTTCAATTATTGATGAAACTTTAAAATCTTGAGTTGTATTAGAAATGGATAATGAAAGAATAAAAACGTCAAACGGTTGTCAAAATTTAGGTCAAACCAGAACCGAAGGTTCAATAAGTCTTTTTTAATATACTTACCCAGTTTTTTAACAATCGCATTAGTTTATTCATTCGTTTGTTTGTTTTTGTTTTTGTTTTGTGTCTAGAGATAAACAGCAAGAATTCACATCACCAAATCAACCGAATCTTATCGTGGGATTTCTTTCTTGGCCTACCGTTCGTTACAAACGAGAGGTTTTATTTGGATGGGTCGATTTACTTGGTAATACCGTTCTAGCTTCTTACTTTGCAGTGCACAAATATGATTCAAATAAGCAGTATTACACGCGAGAATTTTACTTTTTATCTCCTAGGCATTTGTGTTGGTATCATGATGCCTTCCTTTCCTCCCGCTCCCTTTGAATGTCCTAGCAGGGTAGAATTATGCATTGGACATTTAATAAAAAGAAAGAGTACTTTTCGTAAAAATCCCACCCCATTTGACCATTTTAAATATCGACGATGGAACTACCAGACCCCGAGTCTCGTTTGCGGCGTTTAAAAATGTTAGCTTCCATTTTATTTTTGTGAAGGCGAACAAACCGATATCATTCCTTGAAATTGTCACAGCTGTTTCTTCACACAGGGAGTAAAAAACACGGTACTTTTCAAGCATTAACGTTGAGTAGTTTTACATCTAAAGAATAAAATATGATGGGAAAAGTCTGTCACGTCTGACTGACGTCAAACTGAGATACGTGGTCCAATGGTTTCACCGTCGGAATGTAGATACAAAATCAAGATTAGCCAGAACTTATAATGATAGTGTCCTTCAACGATGATGACTTTACCCTGGTTTTTTTTTTTTTTTTTTTTTTTTTTTTTTTTTTTTTTTTTTTTTTTTTTTTTTTTTTTNTTTTTTTTTTTTTTTTTTTTTAAAGATTCAATACAAAAAAATACCGGAGGGAACACTCTGCTCCCGAGCGTCTTTCTCAGAGGAGGATCCTACTTCCCCTCGTCTACCGGCCAATACTGCCGTGCTAAGGAAGAACGCCGTATGAACCTTCAGGCGTTGCCAAATTTCCATTTTAAAACCATGAATTTCCTGGTAAACTTACGAATATTTTTCTTCCAATTTTTCAGATAGTATTGTTCGCAATTTTACCTGCAGTTCCTGAAAATTCCAAGCAAAAATATTCATAACTTTTCCCAAAAATAAACATTTTATCGACGGAAATTCGGCAACTCTCAAATGTTCATACGGCGTATTTCCTCAGCACGGCAGAATACCAGGTTCGATTCCTTAAACCACGGTATTGGACCGCAACTGTAGATGAATGATCAAAAGTGCGTATGGTCTAGTCGTTCAAGTGTCTAACAATTTCGCTTTCGTTTTCTCTTTTTTGTTACAGTCGCCTTTGGTGGTATCGCCGGTCTTTTTTTGGGGTTCAGTTTGCTGAGCGGGATTGAAATATTTTATTACTTCACTCTCCGCGCCCTGTGTATGGTGCATACAGACAAGAAGAAATTAACGAAGCTACACTGGCAATACAAGTGGGAGAAGGAGAGTCAACTCATTAATTTAGATCTTGAGCCTTTCCTTTTTGGGAGAAAACATCCAAAACTCACCAAAAATTCCGGCTACCTCAAAAATGAAAGAGATACATTCTCCGATAAAACTCAGCATACAGGACGTTCTACGAATCAAATCAGTGTAATATCTTCTGGTTGGACAATAGAATCATCCTCGGTGAAACGCGGGCAGATTATGTCCACGCTCCACTCAGAGAGTTCTGATTATACGATCCCGTATTTACCGTGATGATCAAAAAATATTTATAGATGGTGAGATTCATATGCATCTCTCGATTTACGACGTTGCAGATTTTCTGTCACACTTTATTTTCTAGTTGTAAGACAACTAAACATATTTTTTGGAAACATCGGTGATTGGTACACGAACTTTATGTCCATTTTTTTTACGTCCACAGACTTTTCGTCCACAATTTTTACGTCCACAGTTCTAAAGCCAACATTATTGTTAAGTCCATTACTTAAACGTCCACTAAGTTAAGTCCACAAATGTAAAGTCCACTAAAATCAAATTCAAGCGCCATATTTTAGTCCGTGTGTAAAATTATATTGATAATATCGAGATGAGAAAATTAAGTGAGAATGAGGTGTTGTTATCGTAACTCATATTTTAAATGAAATGTTAATTTCTTCTTTTGATTCATCTTTTCAAATTGTCTTTGGTAAATACTTGGTTTCATTTCCATCCTTGAAATTTCCGATATAAAATATGCCTTACATGTACATTCTTTTTTTTAATGAAATTGATGACTTAATTTTAAGAACATTTACATTTTTAAAACGTGGTAAATATTTGTAAAACCTTTTCCAAGCGATGGCATCGATATGAATCTCAATGAGCCGTAGTTGTGATGAAAGAAACTATACAAAAATTTATAAAAGAGGGAAAAAACGAAGAAGCGCGCAATTTTTTGTGTTTAACTTATTTGTGCATCGACCTTCTTGAGTCAAATACGTCCAATTTTGAGCGTCTGGTTACGCTTACACCACGCTGCAGCACAGTAAAAGCCCAAAACATAAAAGAATATTATTGAATGCTTTGGAAATCATTAAATTTGACACGGAGCCACTATTATATTTACAAAAAACACGTTATATTTTCCATTAGTACATATTTCTTTTTCATCACTTTAAAAGGGAATAATCAATGCAGAGAGTGCAAACATTTCAAAATCATGAGTTGAAAAACGCTGACTCCGCGAGTTTAAATATTAGAGCCTAAAACAGAGCGGAGCAGTGTGTTAGCAGCGCAGAACGGGCACTGGCGCCTACAAACCTAACCGGATACTTCACGCATTGCGCAACGCGTGAAGTATCCCGTTAGGTTTGTAGGCGCCTATGCGCGTGTCACGATGGTTGCCTGCCGCGCCGCAACGCTTTAAGCAACTATTTCGCATCAGAGGCGTTGCACAGTATCCTACAAGATTGAAGACGCACGAAATTACTAGTTAAATAGGACTTTCAATTTTGACTGCATCTGTTACTGATAAATGTCTGACATTTGGCATTGGAGCGTTTCCTAGGCTCCCGCTTTGGTTTTCATCTTATCATATCCGTACAGTGCACGCATGAACATATGTTTTTATCTGCTCTTAGAGTCTGTTCTCTTTCATGACTTGATTCATGAATGAAATGTTTGTAAGAATGAAGGTAGTAGTAGTATGCATATATTTTTGAGGTGGTTCCTGTCATTTAAATGAGAAGAAAAAAATGTGGACATAACATGTCCACAATTTGGACAATTTTGGACATATTCATTGTTGACATAAAATCATGTCGACTTAATAAAGACTGGTCTTAACGTTTAGTGGACATAAATAGCGGTGGACATTTATTTAATGGACGGAAGGTAGGTGGACATAAAGTCCTGGAGGCCGGTGATTTTCCCTCTCTATGTGAAGAATATTTTGTGAAAATTTCAAGTCATGATGTTAGTTTGGTTTCCTCTAAAAAAGTAAAATCGGAGCGAATGGTTTGGGAGACAGCAACTGAGATACGCATCCCTGAAAAAAAACTGAAAAAAAAAATTAAATTTAGTGAAATAAATAGTTTGCCGAATGATTACCCTATCATAATTTCTGATTTACGGATTCCTTTTTCCTGGCGGTATAAATAGTCTTGGAAACGAGAAGATATTTAAAACGGAGGAAGTTTCCAAGTGAATTTTAAAATCATTCTTGACCCGGGCTTTAAGTAGTGAAGCATATGGTTACCATGAACCATGGAATCGGATCTTAATTTTCCGCAAAAGGTTATTTCAAGCAGTTTCCACTAATTTTATCTGTGATCACCTCCTCCACTCTTTCCATAAGGATAAAATGACAGCATTTGTTACTTGTATATTGCGAAACAGGGGTGGAATTTTTCCTGAAAATAGTAGCTTAAGTATAAGGAGCAAGGTATTATCTCCCTTCAGTCCATCCTTATTAAAGGTCGAATGGTTCTACCCATGGCGCATGTATACCATCTTAAAGATACTTCTCCCAATAACAAGCAATCCTCATCTAAAAAAATACACATTCACAAATTTCTTTTCATTCATCGTTTCAATGAAGGCGAGATACCTCCTTTGTAAGTGCACGGTAACGAAAGACGGATCATGTACATATATATTCTCCGGATGCATTTCTAATGACTACTGTTCATCAATTCCTTGTGCGCTTTAAAGATATTATATCTATTCAAACGAAGGAACTGCACCATGTGTTTTGGCGTAAAATAAGGAACTCGCCAGAGAAGCTCTTTTAAATCTTAATGAACCTGCAATGAATTAAGTCTCTCGCCAACTTTGCTTGTCAATACGCCAGATTTGATCCAAAAATAGCCTCACAATTTCACTAACAAGATAAATACTCGTGCATGGTTGTATAAGTCTGTACTTTGAATTTTTATTCAGTTTATAAGTATATCTTGCATCATCAGGCAACCGTAGATATCCAGAATTAATTTTGGAAATGGAATATCAATTGAGCAATTAAGCTGTAAACATACTTCTTTAAATTCCCTTGATAAGCCTCTCACAAGTGTACTAAAATTAAGAGCCATAAAATTTTCATCATGAGAAGACGGTGTTCAAATTTAGCTGAAATATTTTCATGCGAGGACTTTCGCGAAACTGGCATAAATTTAGTATACTCCTAAAGCCCGGTGGAAGTTCCAATATATGGAAATTTATTGTTACCAGATTTCAAATGAAATTAACATCTATTAAAGTATTCTGTGTCGCTCTATCAAAACCAACTCCTGAAAATGCCTTTCAATAATGACGGTTCCGGTTGGATATTTCAAAAAAAAAGAAAAGAAAAGAAAAGAAAGAAGAAATCAAGGCACATGAAGGAGTAAACCATGCAAATACAGCATCATTTCAAAAATAATTATTACAAATGAATTTATTACCTATCTAATATGTATAAAAGCATAGTAACCATTAAATTACACGTCAAATCATATGTACAAATATTATACATACATAGAATGCTTTCAATGTTTCTAGTTTCAATCACATATACATAAAATCGATAATTGTAATAGTAAGTACTTAATTTGACTTTATATATAAATAGTTGAAAAAATTAATAGTTATAAACAAAATGACTAAACATCACAATACAAAAATAGGAAAACCAAAAATTGAACGCTTACAATGAAGTAAAGTGTAAAATTCGGAATTTTGTTTATTTGTGCTGCTAAGCATGTCATTTCTTCTTTCCTATGCAGCACACTCTTACTGGAGATCTTCAAAGGGAATCTAAACCTCGAATATACCACATTTGGACTTCATTTTGCAATTAGGAGCTATCAATTCTAGCCCGGTTTAAAAACGACGTATGTGCCATCAGTTTTTCCCCATACACACAAGTGTTTTTTCAGATGAGCCAGAATTTATAGTTTCAAATTGCAAAATGCAGTCCATTTAGCAACACTCGTGAGAATATGCCCAAAAGTAAGCCTCACTATTCAGTATTTCAAAAACTGTGATAAAGAGAGCATTCTGAAATAGGAAAAAAGGTTAAGGAAAAATATCGTTAGAGTTTCATGAGCAATACTCTCAGTTCTCTAACAGTCTTTGAAATTTGATTCTGGATTACTAAAGAAACTATAGTGTCATGCTTTGGAAAGTGCTTTGAAAAAGGAGAAAACTATATTGAAAAATAAAAATGCGCATTTTAAAATATCTCCAACAATGCATTTGTGTTTCATTTGTTATACGAGCCCGTACTAACGGTTTAAGAGAAAGTGGGCGCAAAAAAGCTAAATAACTCTGCAATCTGGTAACAAACTTCAAAAAGTATACTGCATCAAAAAAGTGAGATTATGCCTGCGAGTTCAGGTTTTTTGCTCCTCTTATTAAAATAGTTCAGAACTTACTTTTGGGTACATTCGTCACCCGACTGTGCCTACATTGTGGGTTTTGTGCCACTGGGTGACATCATATAAGATCCATCATAGTTTCAAGATGACCCTCCTAAATAGAAAAATATCCATAAGTGATACTCCTCTACAAATTTAATTATCAGTAGTTCATTTGTTTAACTCCCCTTAAATTAATAATTTTCAAATAAAATGAAAAAAATAATTATGACTTAATGTAGAATTAGTGACTTGAGTTTTACGGTATCAAAAATATGACTTTTTTTCTCTTAATTAGAATAATTCAACATGGATAAAATCAAAAGAAATCGCAATAGAAAAGAAAAAGAAGAAAAGAAAACAATTTAAAAACATTTGGCATCGCATATTACTATTTTGCCCGAGTAGTTGCTCTGATCATTTTATCAGGATTACAAAATTTGTTGATTCAGCGAAGATGAATGCAGGTGTAGTTACAAATTAACTTTAAATATTTGGATGAGGTATGCTCGGTCATTTATCAATAAAACGGATTCAATTATGAAGTTCTTGCTTGAGGTTGAGCAGAAATCTCAAACGAACGTGTGCTTTTCAAGTCGTGGAGGCTCATACATATTTTCCCGTGTCTCTTTGTTAAAGCATGTCATTACATTCGCATTTAGTGGCAACTGCTGACTCCCGGACACATCGATGGTGAAATTGCAAAAACGTGTTAATCGTCTGCGATGTCTTAAAATCTCCGCTCCCAGAGCATTTTATTGAAGGAGGACAAACTTACACTACTTTTCTTTGACATTTTCACAAAGGGAGGAAAAATCAAGACAGTTTTTAACCAATGACTTCGAGTAATTTTAAACATCGAAAATAAATCATACTAGGAATTCTGCAGTGTTACAAACCGAGTTACACGTTTTCGCAGTTTTCTCATCGATATTTGTCGATGTGTTTGACCTAACGCGAATGGTTCGCTTTTGGTTACAGTCCTTGCGCAATAAATAAAACGGGGAGAAAAGCATTTCAAAAAGACATGAGATAAAATCCAAAAACGTTATCGAAGTGGAAGAAGATGAAAAGATTCCTGTGAGCCAAGAAAAATACTTCATATTTTAAAATTATTGCGAATTAATTTTCGTTGTCATCTACTTCAGCGACAAATTATGTTTGTAGGTATTCCCAAGTATAATATGAAGTATGGTAATTATATTATTTGAATAATTGGACGGATTTGTTTTAGTATTAATTTTTAGTAGAGATGGCGCCTGTCGGGAAAATTGCATGCTCTCCATTCTTTCACGAGTTACAAGACTCGGTTTAAATCTATATTTCAGATATTATCATCGATTTTACAAAAATAATGCATGTTACGGTCAGATAATAGTCGATCAAACATGATGTAGAGCAGCAAACTTCAATTGAAATACATTAAGAAGTATACACCCCAGTAGGAATTGTAATTTTAAATAATGCTTATTTTTGCTATGTTTATCGGATCCTAGGACACGCCTCAAATATAAGTCAATGTGTGACAAAAAAATCAAATGTGATTTACGACGTTGCAATCGAAGAAACACAGTTACTCAATTTTACACATATGTTGAAATCGGAGAGCATGCTATACTGAATTAATACTGAGAAGTTCTCTCACTCAAAATTGGTCCTTGGAATGGGAAAAGTCTCACCTGCATGTGTCCGAAATCCACTTTTGTGAAACAGAACTTGCCAAAACAAAAATTAATTTTAACCAATTTTTACGTGGTGAAACCAGCCAGCTACATCAACGTTATAAGTTGTCCACAAATATCTGTAGAAAAGACATTTTCGTTTTAGTTTTGAGCTGTACCGTCTTGAAAATAAAACTCAGCTGCACCTAGCAAAAATATCTTCTTGAATCGATGAGCAATCACGGTCGTGTTGCTCTTTGAAGGAAATTGTCGAATTCATGACGTAGCGGGTTTCAACCGTCTGTCGTGGCATTTGGATTTGTGTAACTAAATCCTTGGAACTGAGTTTGATCCATAGATTGTAAGATTGCGCGGTCAATCGGGGTGAGCTTCGGCCTCTCTCGTGTGAACGCCTTCTCAAAATAGTGCACATCTAGAGGATGGGTCTGTAAAAAAATATGCAGATGAACACGATGTAAACATTTCAGGAATGATCAGGACATCAAGGGCTTTAGAGATGTCAAGGTTATGATAAAAAATCATGACATATCTCGAACCATGGATCTTTTTAACGTTTTTGTTAAATTTTTAATGATTCGGAATGACCAAGTGTTTCGAGGAGTGAAAGCCTAACCAATCACAGCGAAAAAATAATGGCGAAGTGGCCAGCCGGTATACTTTCTGCTTCAATTTTTTTTCTTTTTTTCTCATTTTGTCCTCATATTCCTTGTATTTTAATTTCATTGTTATTTCATTATCCTGGATTAACCTATGCCCCAGATGCCCAAAATGGGTCATATTGACCCGAGGCTTGCTATGAAAAGCATGTTCCGTTGGTTGCACGCGCGGCCGGTACTTACGAGCTTTAGATATATAGGTTTAAAAATACATCATAAAAAGAATCAGACGTTAAAGGGAGAAAAAACGGATGGGAGAGACGTATTCGGGCCTCGTCTCTTAACTTTTCACACATCTGAGATAATAAAAAATAAAAAAAATATAAAAAAATAAAATAATAAAATAATACATAAAGTTTAAAGAGGATGAATCCTTACCACTCGTGGTTTATAAGGAGGCGTAAGTTCACGTCTCTCAAGTTTGTTCCAATCAAGACCTCGGAAAAATACGTGTTCTGTAATTTCTCCCAAAGAGTTTGTCTCGACCGACCCTAATCGCTTGGTTGCATCTTTTTCAAGGAGCTGGAATGGCAAATAACAAAAAGGAAAAAGATTAAAGAGTTGCGAACCATTATCATAAAATCGCTATGATCATGAGTGTAAATCAGTATTTTCAGTAATCTGCGTCAAATGATCTGATGTGTGTAAGCACTCGGTTGTGCTCGATACACTGTTGATTGGGTTTTTATATGACGCAACTATTCGGCCTCTGAGGCCACGCTAGGAAGTATCTTTTCAAAATGAAGGCGTTTCTCATGCGTCGACACTCTCCGTTAAATAATTATCTCAAGCAACCGTATTACGCCCAATCCTACGGTGCCACACGTTGATTGGGGTTTTAAATGATGCAACTATTCGGCCTCCAAAGCTTTGTGCCGTCTCCGAATATTATCCCTCTCGTCAGGAAGTGGCGCCAACAAGAGCGCCTTCTTTTTAAAGAGTTACACAAGACATCACGCCACCAAAAGGTGTGCTTACAAATTAGGCCCCAAAGGTTGATTTCTATTCAAATAAGCGCCTGTCGCCTCCATGTCAGTGCTCTAACTTCATTGTTCCCATTTTTCCTGTTCTTTTCTACTTAATTTTTTTACGTTCCTTTTTCTCTCCTCTTCTTTTCATTTGGGCGTCTTCGGCACACTTCAGCGCCCAATGTTGTCGCTCTAATTGCTTAACCCTCGCGACGGCACTGCGCTAAGAAAAAACAGCTCAGCAAAATTGTTGAATTTTGTTGAAATTAAGCTACTTTTAAGAAAATAAGTAGAGAGAAAAACTAACCTCTTGAAGAATTTTCTTTGCTTCCACGGATAAATACCGCGGGTAGGTCGGCTGCTCGTTGCATATGGACCAAAAAAGATCATCTTCATCACATCCACTGAAAGGAGACTGACCGATCAGCATCTCGTACAGTAGAATACCAAAAGACCACCAGTCCACGCACCAATTGTATTTCAGTCCCTTTATAATCTGCAACAAGAGAAATGACCTCAATCATTACCTTGAAAACTTTACCAAAAGATAATGCTAATAATGTTTTTTGGTTCATCGTCCTCCACCGGAGTCAAAAGGAAAACAGCAACACTTTTACTATATTTAACGCAAATATTAACTTATGAATCGTAATGAAAATATAACTGAAAATGTAAAACACTCCAATATCATAGAAAAAGAGAGTGAATAATCAAAACGACTTGTGTTGTAGAGAGGTAATTTTCTATCGTGAGTCCCATCATGGATCTCCTATGCTGAGTTACAAATGCCACTGAGGTAGCCAAAAATTCCATACGGTAAGGAAATCGGTTTCCAAATTTTTCTCGAGTAGTTTCAACGAATCCTCCGTCCCTTGGAGGATAGTCTGCGAATCCCTTTCATAGGAGGTACTTTTTCAATGTTTCGTACAGCGTGCTGAAAACTTTGGAACACTATTGTCAGTAATTTTCAATTAATAATTTAGCCCTAAAAATTGCGGAGAAGAAAAATTCTATTTGAAAAGAAAGAAAGAAAAAAAGAAAGACAAATATTCAACACTTTGAATGTTTTACCTCTGGAGCCATGTAGTCGGGAGTTCCGCAGAAAGTATCAGCCGTTCTATCGAGGTATATTTGGAGCTTGCACATTCCGAAGTCTGCTATTCGCACGTGTCCATCGAAATCTAATAGCACGTTATCCAATTTTAAATCCCTGAAGCAGAGAGTTATTCAGTTTTAGTTTGAGCCTCAACATAGATATTTTCATGTAAAGTATAAATCTAGGTTAGGTTAGATTTATTAAATTTTGAATTTTCGAATTCTTATGATCAAAATTTCCGTGCTTGAATGAAATTTTTAACGTGTCAGTCAAAGTATCGTAAGCAAAGGGATACAGTTATTACGATTCTGAATGAAGATCAAAGTATATTCGATATGCTTAGGACTTTGAATCGATTCATTAAATTAATTATTTTCAGCCCATGATGGAGAGTCTTTAAGCTCGTGCACAAATGCATCCTCAACAAAATATATCAGTATTAAATTGTTGAGGTTTAATATTACAAACTAAAACGAGATGACTATGAAACATACGCGCGCTGTAAGTTATTGTTATTAGTTTGAAATTTCCTTGATTTTTACTTCCGTATGAAAGCATCCGGTGGAAATTCAAGAGATATTTGTTTAGCAATCGAAGTAAAATTATTCGAGGTTAAGTTTCATGGTTCATTAAATTTATTAAAATGTACTCTAATGTTTTGATTCATTTCTTGAGGAACTAACTGGTTAGCTTTGAGTAATCATCTCTAAGATGTTTTACAGTAAGCTACACTTTTCTCCAGAAATTTCAGTCTAGGTCATCACTGGGTTGTTATTTTAAAGAGATCAGGGCCGGATTCAGGGGGTGGCCACATGGGCCGCGGCCCATGGCGGAAAATTTAGGGGGCGGCAAATTTTGCAATTTTTTTAAATGTAGGTATAAAGAAAAATCGGATTCAGAAAAAAAATTACAAAGGAGAAAAGGTGACAAAATCTTTTCATCTCCTGAGAGTAGGTTTATCACTAATTTTGTCGTCTTTCTGTGATACAATACACAGCCCCTTTATTTAGTCGAGTTAAGACTAAGAGAGAAACCGAACACGGAATTTGGCCTGGAACGGCGCGGCGCAGAGAGCAATGATGACGCGAAGAGAACATGCGATGAAAAGGAGAAACCCTCGGCGCGGCGGGGCGGTCGGCATGTAACACATATTAGCGCCTATAAGACTGCGTGAATACTTCACGCATTGCGCGTCAAACACAGTGCGGTCGCTGCGATCAGCAGCGGGCGGCATGAAACGCATAGCGCCTACAAGACTGCATGAATACCTCACGCATTACGTCAAACACAGTGCGGTCAGCGTGGCGCGGCGGCGGAAGTTACAATTATTAAACCACATTTATGTTTGTTCTTTCATAATTTTTTCGTTCAATTCATATAAATGGAAGGCCTTGTCCACACAGAGATAGGTTTACGGAACCTAACTTTCGCGCCAAGTTCCGTGAACTTTTGCAAGTAGTGTTGACAGGGCTTTCGCAAAAAACGTGTCTAACACGAGTGAACGCGTCTTGTGAGCCCCTCCCCCTCCGGCACGTTCACTTGATGGTTTTTATTGATGTTTCAAAACGAATGAGAAGGGAGCGGCAAAATACAGGCGGCCCGTGGGCGGCAAGTAACCAAATCCGGCCCTGAAAGAGATTAAAATTTGTAACGTTTGTAGCATCATTTGATCTTGGATTTTCAAAAAGTTTTTGGCGTAAAACATACTTTGAAATGGTAAGTTATTTTACCTATAAACTATGCCTTTTTTATGTAAGAATTTGAGCCCAGAAGTGATTTCCGCAGCATAAAATCGGGCACGTCCCTCATCAAAGCACCCTTGTTGTTGAATGTGGAACATGAGATCTCCGCCATTTAAATATTCCATCACAAAAAATAGGTGCGACTGAAAATAAAATAAAATCACATCATATTTGTGAACAAAAATAAGTGCATCGACGAAAAGAAGATCCTCTTTATTTCCAAAGAACAAATTAATTGTACGTGAAAGGGCAAAAAGTTACGGACGGATGACCTTGTCTGAACACGACTTACAATTAGTTTGAAAGTGTTTAGAGAATTCTTTTCTGATACACGCGTCTCAATAGTCAAAAGTGCCCAACTCTCTCGAGTCCCAAACCCAAAAGACCGTTTGGTTTGACCGTGTATCAGTTGAGCCGGTTTTAATTTCCTCGTAATCGCCTCGAGACAAAACTCCCTAAGATCTTTACAGAAGTTTGTGTCATTTGAAATTAATCTTCCTTTATGATTCTGCCGGGAATTTTCCACATTTAAAATGAGATCATTTAACTTTTAGAGCTTAAAAGAGGAGAGTGAAAGTCGCTCAAAGGTCAATACTTACATCTGTTTGAAACGTGCAGAATAAATGACATAGATAGGGGTGCTTAGTTCCAAGTGTGAGGACTTTTCTCTCAATCAGCGTGCACTCCACATCATCATCCTCTAAAACTACGTCTTTCTTTAAACATTTTACAGCATAGTAATACGTTGTACCTTTCAATTCTGCCAGCAGTACCTGTACAAAAATAAATTAAGTTGTCGTTACCTATACATGCAGTTACAGTGATAAGTAATGTGAGGGATCCCCTCTTTAAGGCCTCAATTTTTAGAGTTCCTTCAGCTTGGAAGCTCAGAGGAAGTAGTGACATCGCCATCGTGTTTTTCGCGAAATTCTACATACATACATAGGAGTCGCTTCATAGTGCTCTTCGGAGTTCCACGACGTCCAACCATCAGAGACCCTTTCCTCCCAAAGCTAGAGTACCTGTATGTATACGGGAGAGTACTGCCATCTCAATCCTTTTACAACAGAGAAAGTGTACCGCTCTCTCATTGGTCGGCTATCATGGAGCCCCAAAGTTGAACCAATGTAAACAAACCCCGCAGCCCTTCTACTCCGACTTCGGCCCAATGTAAACAAGCACTATGGCAAAAAAGTTCTACAAAGTTTTAGACGTAATTTTGGGTGTGATAGACATTTTTTTATATCCAACCTCTGAATTGAATTCGGATCGAACTTTGATGATTATTTTTGCCGAAAATTAAGCTTTGAGTGTGACTATCATTCATTTCTCAGCCGATAATACGTGTTCCTTTGGGTCGGGTTTGTTTCCATTGGGCCAACTTTGGAGCTCCATTATAGCCTAAAACTGATGAACCAATCTGAAAGCGGCACAGAGATGGCAATACTCTCCCACACACAGGTACTCTACCCAAAGCCCCTCAGGGAGCTGGCATCCCCTCACTTCTTGCTCAACTCCGTGACGCAACCCTTTCACTGGGGGGCCTCTTTATTTGTCTCTTCTCAGAATGAACCCAATCAAGCATCTTATTTGGCAGCTTTTCTTCAGCGAAATCTCGCATACAGCTATGGGCGGAAGTATGAACTTCGTAGTGGGGTGGCCAGAAGGATACCTCATCAAGGGAGTATGGAGGGAGGGGCTCAAAAAAAGATTCAACTATGGGAGTCTGTCTACGACTATGGTAATCTCCTAGTTCTAAAAGAGGGTACGGATAATTTTTCCAGCTGTACAGGAGGGTTCGAGGGGCTTCTCCCAGAAAACTTCAAAAAATGAATTGTCTCGAAAGCAAATTTACACTGTTTCAGCTCACCGAAAAATTGACCCAATTCTAATTTCCATTATGAAAGATGAGTCATGCTCATGCACTTGTTAGCAATAGGCATTCATCGCACTTCTTGGGAAGGGTCAAGCAGATTTCTGGCGAGGAACAGGCTCCCTAATTTCCGCCCACGCTTACATAGGGTGTCTGCTAAAATTTCATTTTGGATTTTCCTGATTTCCTTTGATAATTAACCCGAAATTTTCGATTTTGCCTGCACTGAAAAAAAACTTCAGCCGTGGAAGCCGTGCTTACGGGTAACATAGACATGCTGTCTGCGTTTCAGGCTCAGAGGTTGAAAGCACCCGGAGCAATTGGAGCTTCGGCTCCAGCACCCGGAACTTTAGGCCTCTGAGCCCGGTACGGACAGTATGTCTATATAGCCCGTAAATTTTTAAATTTTTTCCAGCGGATAAAATCGGGGTTCCTGATATTTTACGCTTTTTCCAATCAGTAGACACCCTGTAACAGTATTATGATAGCAAATCTCGGTGGAACTCAAGAGCTGTGTTACACTGAAAAAAAAAACTCCGGCCGTGAGAGCCGAACATATGGGCTATATAGACATACCGTCCACGTTCCAGGTTCAGAGGCCGAAAGTTTCGGGCGTTGCACCAGGAGCAACCGAAGCTACGCTGCCGTGCTGAGGAAAAACGCCGTATGAGCCTTCAGGCGTTGCCAAGTTTCCGTTGGTAAATGGAGAATTGTCGGGAAAATTTATAAATATTTTTCTTCCAATTTTTCAGGTGATTTTGTTCGCAATTTTACCTGAAGCTCTTGAAAATTTCTCGGAAAAATATTCATAACTTTCCTCAAAAATAAATATTCTATCGAAGGAAATTTCGCAACTCTTGAATAGGGTGGCAAAATTTCATGAAAAATAAAATCTTGAACTTTCACGTGAGATATTTCATGAAATTTCAGAAATGTATGAAAGGTTTTGAAAAATACCGGTCCCTTTTCATGTTTCGTGAAGGGTATAAATGTGAATTTCTTCCATTTTTGTGTGTTTGAGTGCGGGTTGCACACTCTAGCCCCTGACAAATATGAAATATTTCACAGCCTCGTGAAAATTCATCAAATATTTCACTGAAATTTCCAATATTTCATTTCTTTCTTACGTTTCATGCCACCCTGCTCTTCAGTGGCGTGGCGTGCTTTGCGATATATCGATTATTATGCCATTTAAACCTATGGAAAAGGATCGATAAACAGGGTGTTCGCAACGAACACCTTAATAATCGATTCTTTACCATAGGTTTACATGGCAGAACAATCGATATATCGCAAAGCACGCCACGCCACTGCTGCTCTTGGATGTTCATACGGCGTTTTTCCTTGGCACGGCAGTACGGTTCCAGCACCCGGAACTTTCGACTTCTGAGCCCGGAACGGATGACGTCTATATAGCCCGTGACTTTTTTTTTCCGGTGTAAGTTACCTTGCCAAAGCTACCCCTGCCGAGGAGTTTGAGGAAGTTGAAATCATCGATGGTGTACTTGCGGAAGCGAGGTATGGTGGTGGCGGGCGGCGTGACGCGTCCCGGGCGGTGGGTGCGGGCCGCGAAGTGGGAGTGGGAGCGGCTGCTGCTGCTGCTGCTCCCGGTGCTCCCGTCGCCGCCTCCCACGCCCCCGCCGTCCGAGTCCAGACACAGGGTCGCGTTGCTCAGGTGCCGCGTCGGCGATCCAGACTCTCGGGGCTCTGAAAATCACCAACAACACCATCCGTTAAAATTCATTTCTCTCTCCATAGTCAAATAAATCAAGGGGTAAGAGCCAGAATGGCTTCATGGAGAATTTGCAAGTGTCCGAAATTCGATGAATTCCGTATGGACGCTACCAAGTGAGCTGAACAAGAGGATACCCTTGGTTCATGAATTGAACAATTATTGGAGGAGATATGATGAAATGGGCGTATTCCTATAAAACAGAACTGAATCAGTGAGAATGAAAACACACCAACTCGGAAAAATGAAAGTAATCAAGACACACACAAAACTGCTCAGTAGATGGAGAAAGTAGTCTAAGAAAAAGTTGTTTGGTGCCGAAAGAGAGGCACTTAAGGAAATTTTAAAGGTCCAAGTTGAAACAGATGCGCTAACTTCAATGACCCTCATAAAAATTGACCGTCTTTAATGAAAGTTGCGCGTTTTTGAGTTATCGAGTTGGTGTGTTTTCGATTTCACTGACTCAACTATGTGCAAAGGGAAAGATGGGGTGTGCTCGTTCGTGCTTGGGCAATAAGAATGAATGGGAAATATAAAGCGCCTGTGACGTCAGCGGCAACGACGAGAGAAACGACGATCGGGGCGGTCTTTAACTCATGAGCCCTGTCCACAAGGATTTAGATACATGCCCACGGCTCATGGGTGCCGCACTTACTTGGCTCACAGTTCCGTTTGCTGAATTGGAGAAGCGGGATTTCACGTTCTGTCAAACGGAACTATAGGTGCACAGTGTATGAGCCGTGGGCATGTATCTAGAGCCTTGTGGACAGAGCTCATGCGTTAAAGCGGAAACCCGCAAACTGGAGCTGGCGTCACTGGCGCTTCATATTTCCCATTCATTTTTATGGCCCGAGCACGAACGAGCACACCCCATCTTTCCCCCTGCATATAGTTCTGTTTGATATAAATACGTCCAATTGATCTAATCTGCTAAAATACATGGGGTTAAATGGGAAATGCCGCCAGATGACGTCATTAGGCGGCGCATTTTCTCACTTTTAAGTATATTTTTATACTATCTCCCATTGCCGAAAAAAATTATAAAAATACTGCAAAATCAGCTCTTTAGGCACTTTCAGATGAAGCAGTAAAAAATTAAAAAAAAAAATTGCGTGCAAATTCTCCATTGAGCCGATTATTTTCCAAATCACGTGAGCGTCAATCTCTATTTTGGTAGTAGAGGGGTTGTTTTTTCTTCATTTTCTGTGATGTAACCAATCCTGTGTGATTTCAAAATAGCCCTCTAAAAGAGCATACATTTTTTTGGAATTCGAAAATTGTCAAAAAAGCGAATAAAACGGGTTTTCTTGTTTTTCTCGCATTCGCAATTTTGGCGCGTGAGGGATTTGGAAAATAATCGGTTCAATTCTGGAGCAACGTTGTCAGGTTTCGTATGAAACTTTATTCCGGCAACTATCGTCACCGTTGGCGGGTATATGTTTCACAGGAAGAGAAATTCGTTAGGTTAAGTGAAAAATAAAAAAAGCTTAAAAATGTTAAAACAAAATTTGAAAATGTTCCAAAGTTGGTCGGTGTATTATGAAGTGAATCTGTGCAACTTTGCGATGCAATCAAGTCTCTTATCTTCGAACTTAATCCTTTTGGATCAGCTCATTATGTGTTGCGGAGGAAACGAATAATGCGGTCCAAAGCTTGAATGAATGTTAATTAGTTAGGTTTTGGAAAAATGAGGAAAACTTTCGTGAACTGAGAGGGCACTCTGAGGGAGTACCTGTTGGTCAAAACTCGCTCGGTGCCAACAAACACAGTTTGCAGGTCGAGCCAAAGAGAGCAAACCTACAACCTATACTTTTCAGCTTAAACGACAGCAATAATTAAGGATGTTAAAGAGTAACTCGAACAATAATTTTGCATTGAAAATACTATCCATTAATCTTAGCCAGATCGCTTATGGTCTAGGTCTAGTAGTGGTCCATCCTTCGATCTAAGCACCAAAGTAAGGAAGAGTCACAATGGTCTTAAATATATTTTTGTCATCTTATTCTAATGTGTAGAGGTCTTTCCTCTCTCTGATAAATATTTTTATCAAAATTTCACGTTGAAAATTTTACAATCCATTTATAGGGAGGGAGGAAAGCATGATTTATAGTTTACATCAGAATAGTTCAATTCCGATGTCCGCGAATTCCAAAACATGCGAAAAAACGAAAACCAACGCAAGTTAAATTGATCTTTGAAAAGAAAATTATACGTTTGAAAAATTACCAGAATTTGGATCTACCGAAATATTTTATAACACCCTCCTCTGCTACAATAAGCACTTCTATTTTGAACTTCTAAGAAAAAGATCACCATTATATAAAATAAATATATATAATAAGAATAATTGCAAAATACTCGAAATGATTTCGTGCCTCTTTCAGACTATGGTTCTTGCTCTTGCCAGACGGCAAGTTGAAATTGTCAAAGACAGAAAGTGCCAATTTCTCACTTATCAATTGAATTTTGAACTTTTTAACAAGTAAATCGAACTCCTCGTGTAATTTTAATGACGTGCCAAGTACGTGACATACCCTGATCACTTGGACTACATTTTACAATTAGGAACTATAAATTCTGGCTCGTCTGAAAAAACACTTATGTGCATAGGGAAACTAACGGCATATACGTAGTTTTTAAACCGGGCCAGAATTTATAGTTCCATATTGCAAAATGCAGTCCATTCGGTCCATTACAAATTTTTAGTTCACTTCAGGCTTTAGGTTGAGGTTTTATTCGTGACTGAAATTCTCCTCAAAATCCACACATTTTTGACTGAAAAAAAAAACGACACGCACAAAAGGAAGATTTCAAGTATTTCCTCAAATACTGTTATTAAACCATTCACTTCTTTAAATGCGCCTACCGGAAGTTAATTCAGCTCAAAAAACCAAAAGAAATGAAGCTCATAGGAGAGACGAAATAATTGTGTTTGGTGAAAATGAAGCAGACATCTGCAGTTTTGACGCCAAAATAATGGCGCAAGGCGGGAGAAAGGGTTAAAGGGGAGGGGGAGGGCTTCGGCAGACAAAAATATAACCGAGGCTTGGCAAGCGTGGCGAAAGATCTTGACAGATTTTCCGTATCACATCCTACGCTTTGCCTGGCGACACGTCTTGACAGCCGTGCATTGAACTATTTACTTATCTTTTATTATGACGGTGTCTCTGCCTCTTGAGCCTCCTAGATACGAATATCTCTAATCTAAAAGCCCATATTTTTTTGCCCGGAAAACTAAAGCTGGCTCTATTTAAAATATGCAGTATGGATAACTATCATTGGTTGAGTGGTCTTGTACGGTTCAAAGTACATTAAGAGGTCCACTCCAAGCCGTCTTGTGGCCTATCCTCACCTTCTAAAGACTACCTCGTAAAGACTACATTTTTACTACGTAAAAAAAGACCACCAAAACAATAGTTATTCGATAACGTTTGCAGAATGGAGATGTTGCATGTTTGAGGGATTTGCGATTTGACCATCGATTCTTATGTAAAAGTTTGCGAGAAACACGATGGTACCAGTAGTTTTTTCTGAAATCATCTCCCCAGCTTAAAAAAAGCTCTCAAAGTGAAGCCAAAATGGAAGGGATATCCCACCCTACCCTGAGAGTCCACCTCTACATCAAAACAAACTCTCCATGCAAAGATATGGAGCAAATACATTAGCAGGGTTGCCGTGTTTTCAGTTTTGGAGTCCCCAAATAAAGTGGCAACCCTGCTAATGTATTTGCGCCCTATCTATGCATGGAGAGTTTGTTTTGATGTAGAGGTGGACTCTCAGGGTAGGGTGGGATATCCCCTCCATTTTGGTCTCACTCTGAGAGCTTTTTTTGAGCTTGAGAGATGATTTCAGAGAAAACCAGTGGCACCAACGTGTTTCTCGCGAACTCTTACGTAAGAGCAATGGTCAAATCGCAAATCCCTCACGCATGCAACGTTTCCATTAACGGATGCAGAATGAACGCTGGACCTCTTCAAGTTAGCCCGTATGAGAGGTAAGGCGATTCGAGGTTATAATAGGATTCTGTTTTTTCAGACATGCCTCCGAAACTGGAAAGAACTGCATTGGGAGGTTGATTCCTACGAGAGTTAAGATGAATCTCAGAGGGTATGATAAAATGCGAATGATTGGTGTAAGCAGTTTCGGCCTGCGCAGGAGCCGGATAAATTATGCAATTTATTTCATGCTCACGCATTTTGATAATGAAATGTAGACGCTAGCTGGAGAAGCGCCAGGTTTAAGACTACCTCAACACATGCTCGAGCCCAGTGCTCCTCAACCTGAGGCACTCACACATGAAGAAGCACTTAAAAGCAGAGGCCATCGCCTTGCGATCCAGTCATCTCGGCAGACCATGTCTTTCACGTCAACGACGTTGTGGGTCCAAAGCGCCAGAGTCGTTCTAGTGGAAGACATGGTCTGACTCTGAAGCTTCGTTGACACAAATTGGGCATAGCCTACAAGCAGCGTTTGATTTTTGCCGGCACAAATTTTTTTCGATTAACTCTCTGAAAGTAGGCAATTGATTTGTGCTATCTGGTCTATTCTTTGCCTATGCGGTGAAATTGAAGGCGAACCTAGAGAGGACGATATCAGCCAATATATTCATGGTTGAGAATAACGTTCATCGCTTTTATCAAATCTTGTGGAGATTTATGTTACATCTCGTCCAAGATCTTAAACTTAATGCTCATCTCTGAACTTTTTACTTCTTTGCTTGAGCATGGAGTCCAATAGCGAGGAGACCTCCCTTGGTTTTAATGCCCATCCATTCTTTATTATAATAGAGGATCGAATACTTTTCTTATGTAATCTGAATTGAGCTAACCTAGCCTAACCTAACAAACGCAAATTTTCTACACAAACACATTGTTTCCGTCTTCGTTTCACAAAAATTGTCCTGATGAACTTTCGGACTCTATGCTCGTCTTATGTCAGAGAATATCTCCCCGCGATTTTGGACGCTCGCTTTGATTTTTCAAGGAAATTTTTTCCTCATTAAAGTGAGGATGGAGTCTGAGATCTTGGGCGTGATGAGCAGCCGAGCTTTGTGAGGTCGAGCACGGAGCCCTAAATTAAGTACGTTATGCTACATTACCCCAACAACCAATATACCCCTAGCTAAAACCAAATACCCCTCTCAACAAAAATGTGTGTTTTTCAAGTATATAACTATTCTCGCTCCTAGGTATGTCTGTTCCCTACGTGGCGGCATTGAAGGCAAACCTCGAGTTTATTAGTGTACACGGAGAAAAAAAACTCGTGCGTGGGACCCGAAGTTTAGGTCATATGGATCTCTGAAGTTTTCGGATTGAGCATCCGAACACTTTAGGTCTAGCTGCCGAAGTTCGGATCATACATCTGAAACTTCAGTTCTTACATCTGAAGTACTTCGGTTCTCACATCTGAAGTACTTCGGTTCTCATATCTGAAGTACTTCAGATGTAAGAACTGAAGTTTCAGATGTATCATCCGAACTTCGGCAGCTAGACCTGAAGTGTTCAGATGCTCAATCTGAAAACTTCAGAGATCCATATAACCTAAACTTCGGGTCCCACGCACGAGTTTTTTTTTCTCCGTGTACAAGTATGCCAAAGAGATAACGCATTACGCCTTTGGTTTCATAAAAGTAAATCGAATAGTTGTGCATGCTGGCTGGTATGTCTGTTGCTCACGAATCAGAAGCTTTCATCAATCTGAATTTTTCTACGGTCCCTTCAATTGCAAATTATCGAGTGCGAAATACGGAGTTAAGGGAATCAGTCAGCTGGACAGAACAGCGTCCCACGTGTAGTCGGAGCTAGATAGTTTGATATAGTTGCATGTTGTCTGCCTTGCGTTCCATGCAACTAATTGAAAACGCTTTAGTGAACAATGGGCCTGTTTTAAGGTGCGGGGATTTGTGAATTAATGACTGATTCTAAAGGAAAATTTCATGAAAAGAACGATAGTACCACTAACGTGGTAAAAATTGGCGATAGGAGCTGCGTTTCAAAATCCATAGGAGTTCTTATAGCCGACTAAAGAAGGCTATTGAAAATCATAAAGCTGACTGCAGAAAGCGGGGCAAATCATATAGCCGGGCTATACGAAGCTATAAAAAAGTATACAGTCGGGCTATAGTTCCTATCGCCGGGCTTTACACTTTATCGCCATTGGCTGTAAAAGGCTAAAAGAAATTGTGAGGAAATTCGTGTGCTTTGGAAATCATTAAGTTTGATACGGAACTACCTTAATTTTTACAAAACACACATTATATTTTCCTTTAAAACATTTTTTTTTTCATCAATGAAAATGAGAATAGTCCACACAGAGTGTGCAAACATTTCAAAATCATGAGTTGAAAAACGCTGACTCCTCGAGATTAAATATTAGAGCCTAACACAAAGCGAAGCGGCACGCACTGGCGCCTACAAACCTAACAAGGATACTTCACGCATTGCACAATGCGTGAAGTATCTCTGTTAGGTTTGTAGGCACTAATGCGCGTTTCGCGCTCTCTGCCCGCCCGCCGCGCCGCAGCGTGCCACGGCGCTTGAAGCAACTATTTCACACCAGAGGTATTGCACAGTATCATAAGAAATTGAAGGCACTCCAACATATTAAGAATGACAGGCATCCTTCAAAAGCACGGAGCTTTCCTCGCAAAATAAATCAAGATACTACGGCACAAAAAGAGAGCGGTAGTCCAAAAACTAACTAAGTCCTAGTATCCGTAATTAATAACGTTTAGCATAAATTTTATCGTCTGGCTGTTGCTTAATCGCCATCGGCTATAAAAGGCTATAAGAAATTGTACAGCCGGCTACTGGAGCTGTTGGAAATCTTACAGCTGGCTTTAGGTCTATAGTATTTTGGAACACACATTCTACTGCCAATTTTTACCAGGGTAAAAAATCTTGAAATCACCTCTCAAACTAAAAGAAGAACTGTTTTAGGATCCGACTCATTCAAAACAGTCACTTTCACGCAGGAACGGATCCGGTACACTTTTGCTTGACGTCACAGTACATGAAAAACCTGGTCTCTTTATCAAGCAGCTGCTAATTACATATAGTGAAATACATTTTAAACCGTAGGGAGACCAGGTTTGTCATGTACTGTGACGTCACGAAAGTACCGGATCCGTTCCCGCGTGAAAGTGACCGTTTTGAAAATCCGAATTTTGGGGCGTTTTAGTTCAGTTCTTTCGATACGAGCAATAATAATAAAAAAAAAAAATGATGCTAGTGGCCCATTGTCTTTCGAAACTGGTTATAGTCAGAAAAGTTTTGAAATTCTGATTAAAAGAGGGGTAAGCTCTTTGGATGGAATTATGTATATTTACGCTTATTAGCTTCCTTGTATATATATCCGCCCAAATGTTATTCATCTTGCCAGATAAGAAAAGAATAATCTAATTCAAGGTTTTCAGAAAGCTAAATCTCCGTGATCCACGTGCAGAGAAACTCATATTGAATACAAGGATCCAATGCAGCTTTCAATTTCACCCTCACGTAAATCCGTTCTTATTTTTGATTCGTTCCGCTCTGTAGCGAGGGCATCTTTTTTAAAACTCAGAAGAAGAGCAGGCTCAAAGAGAAAGGTTTTTGCCTCCTCTTCCGCGTGCCTTCTCGAGTTTGGTTGAAGGCAAGGACAAACACACACTCACACAAACACAATAGCAATTTTGAGAATTAGTCAACCGAGAGAAGAGGATTCAAAGAGAGAAAATGCATAGGAGAGGCGAGACCATAGAAGAGGCACAGTCGCACAGCATGTAGAAAATAAGAAACGACGAGAGAAACCAGCCGTGAAGACAGGGTACAGAGAGAAGAGAAAGCTCTCTGAAATTGCTTGGCACTAGCCACGCGGAATACTTCGTAGTTTGGAGGTTAGACGAGGGAACAATGAATGTCGCTTCGGTTGGTTGCTACGATGAAATGCGCGGATGAAGATCGAACATCACCTGGGTCCCATTCAATTTATCTCGCATCAAGTTTTATGTACTGTTGGTAGATGACATTGGGCGGTTAAGAAGATAGATATTTAAAACGTTTTTCCCTCTTTCATTTATTTATTTTTTTTTAAAAAAAATTGTTGCTTCTAGAAACGGTGGAATTTTCCAACGTAATATTCAAGATTGGCTGACGTAACAGATCTCCCCCCCCCATGGCGCACTCTACTGCTCATGGTACAATATGCAGCAAATAGAATGACACTCGCGATCCCGGGACTGCTGAAATTGCCGGAAAATACTTGGAAAAAAAGAGCACGGCGTCGTTGGATACCATTTCCGATTAATTGTGGTAGAATCCTAATAAATTAGGTTACAAACTCGAATGTTGCGGTATTACCCCAACTTCAGTTGCGGCACGACCACAATTAATTGGAAATGACCATCTCATCCAATGAATTGAGTTATTACCACAATTTTGGGGGATGACCCCTAATACTTTTTTTCCGTGGTAAAAAACGACAACTAGGTATCCCTATGAGACGTATTCTCACTGAAAAAAAAGTATCACAATCTCAATTATACTTCCAGCTGATCTTGGCGCCAGACGTAAGAGTAGTAGCACTAGTTAGACGAGTAAAGGCACCAGCCAGTGGTATGATTAATTCATCCACACTTGTGCTGACTGTGAGGGCACCAGCTAGAGGTACGGTTGACCCAACTATACACTTTAAGCTGACTTAACCATACCTTTGGCTTGTGCACCTTCTCTAATATCTGGCGCCACAATCAGCTGGGAGTATAGTTGGAATTGTGATACTTTCTTTCCGCGGCTTCAGTTTTTCTGTATTTCCTCATAAACTAACTGAACACAATTCTATTCTATAGGGATGAATTCAGGCATTCTCCTTCTAGTTTCTCTGTGCCACCCGGCTTGATTGAATGAGTGGCCGTCGTATATTCCACTACACGTAGGACGTTTTGAGAAGTACGTTGGAGAATAGTAAGAATCTTACTCTCTCAAACTCTATATTCATTCATCACCAAAACGCCGCAAAAATTACAAAAAGCGACAGGTATTCTTGTAGCAAAAAAAAAGAAAAGAAAAAAAAGAAGCAATTGGATGTGAAAAATCAGCCCAGTTCAGGTCAATCTTACCTTTTTTAAGTGACGCAAGAGCTTCTACAATTAGTTTTTGATTAACTCCACATAGGTTTGGCATCAACTTCTCACATTTCTTGTGGCAATTCACATCGCAATCTGAACACACATTATCAGTTGGATAACTTTTTTATTCCGACTAATTTTTAAAAATATGTCAACCAATATCTCACGGATAAAATTTTTCGCTTAAGATGGGACATTAGGACACGTAACAAATAGATAAACAATGATTGTGTGCGATTGTTAAACATAAAATAATGATATCATACGATTTTTACCATCGCAGAGTAAATTTATTGAAAATGCCCCATAAGCCTTAATTGAAGTAATAAATTAGAAATATAAAAAAGCAATAATAAGTAAGCATGTGAAAAAATAATATTTAAGAAATGATACCAAACTCCCTACAAGTTATTTCAGTCCAATAGCCGAGAAAGAATCAGCGCTTGTTTAATATCTTCAAACTACATTTAGGTGAGAAGCCGCTAGTATCTTCTCTAAACTTTTAAATCGGGGAAATTTAGAGAGTTAAAAAGTCAAAACTCCGGAGCCTCGCCTCCTAATTTTTGGTGCCAAAAGCACAACTGATAGAAAAACATCAAGCAGTACGTTATACTGAAGTTATCATTTGATGTTACAAAATGAAGATGAGTTTATGAAAAATTCTGACATTTAGACCGGTTTGACAACATTTTTGCCTGTTCGTTTAAATAAACGTTTCCAGAAGAGGAGAAAAGTCAAACAAATGACTCTACAAAGATCAATGTACCAAAATTTCACCAGTGAGATCTATGACTAAACTCTACTACTGCCTGAGCAGCGAGTCTCGCCATATAACAGTAAAGCGGTATCAAGACGGAAGGTTACCCACTTACTCAGAATACTTTTTGGAGCTCCTAAAATGTTTGCAAATTTCTTTGTAAGGAAAAGATACTCAAAACTCTCGATAAAAAAATTCCAACACAAAAAAAAATTCCAGGAAAATCAAAATTTCCTTTTCGGTCACTTTGAGTTAGTTTTCTTTCGATTAACCAAGTTGATTAGCTTCATCAACCACATTAATGAGGTAATTAACCGAAACTTTAAGTTATCCCGACTTTTACCCTTGCTTATGGGGTGGGAGGGGAGCCACTGATGTTATGCTTAGTTTGCAATTTCGGTGTCTCCCCCCTTTTTTCCCCCTTTCCTCGTTATCCCGTAACCACATGTTTTATCACCGCCGTAAATTAATAGATTAGACCTAATAGAACTTAATAGAATTGTCAGTTATGAATTGTAATACAATTCATGTCAATAAAGGATCTCAAACTTTCAGTATGTAACTCAAGTTTTCCACTTATCCGTTCTCTGGTTGTGACTAGCGAGTGTGCCGGTAGCCAATCACCATCCAATGACGGATGAGCGCAACGCACTCAGCTCCCACATGATGGTGATTGGCCCCCGCCACGGCGCCAAGGTAACCAATCAGGACGCGCGAGACGCAGTTCTCCCACTGGATGGTGGTTAACTACCGCTACACGAGTAGAGCGAGCGTATTAGATTGTCGGTTACGAGATTTCAATCCGACCCTAGCCGTCTGTGCCTCATTTTTATCGCGACTTGAAGTTTTTCAGCCGAGGAAATTGGTCAATTTGACTAGATGAAAAACTGACCATGAATTTGTGTTCCATCTTGTTCTACTTTCCGTATTAACACAAACTTTGGCTTACTCTTCTCTCCGGTACCGTGGAATTAAATTATAAATAAGAGCATTGACCCGTGTTGAAATGGTAGAGTTTATAAAGTGGAATGCTCCCTGAATTTCTTTAATTTAAAAAAAAACATATGACACAGATATAACAAACTGTCACACGTCTAGTAGAGTTCTCCAGGCGTTCTCTATTTCCTAGTCAGAAAGCGTTGACTCGAGCTGAATACAGATTCTGTCAAATTGCGACAGATATATCCCCCTTTTCACGAGGCGAGTTACGTTGGCACCTAAATCTCTGTCCTCTTTATGTTTAAATCTTAGCTTGGTTCGGATTAGTCGTTGCCACATCTTCGGAAGTTAGATATTAAATTGCCACACGCAAATTTTGCACGGCCTCTATCCAGCCTCTGCCTACACGTAAAAAATTAAATTGCTGATTTAACAATTAAATTGCTGAACAAAGTGACCGCAATATTTCGATGTAGATTTCACAACACAAAAATGCTGCTTTTACCACTATTATAAGTTAATTTAACTACGGGAGTGGATAAAGTAGCATTTTTGTGTTGAAAAAGCTACGTTGAAATATTGCAGTCACTTTTTTTAGCAATTGAATTGTTGAATCAACAAGTTAATATTTTTCCGTGTACCTGATGGAGATAAAGTTGTCGGCAAACAATAAATGATCTGTTTTTTAGGGTACAGTAGGGTGGCATTAAGCAAAAGGATCCAACATTTCATGAGAGCTTCTGCTTATTGGATGTGGTTCGGCAAATTTTACATGAATTCTCGCGGAGACAGTGTTATAAATGTAAAATTTTTCATTTCAAATGAAACACGATAGGTTTAGGTTTGCTTATTTTAAATCGAGAATATTACATTTGCTAGATAATCTTTGCTCGCGCAGTATTTGTTGCGAGATAATTATTCGATAGTTAAAATGGAGACATCGATCACAAGCGAGTAAATTATTTTCCCCCTTTTCTGTCTAAAAAGGCCTTAGAAACAGTCAAAAATAGCTTGAGGGGATTAATTTTAAAACATTTTCGAGGGAACATCCCCGCAGGGATCCCCCTCAAAATTGGGGGAAGGCCCTCCAGACCTCCCCTTGAGGGCCTTAGCATAAAGCGAGCCCCGAGTTCTCCCAGCACCCCGGACTTTATCTTCCCAGTCCGGCCCTGATGGGAAGTATACTGAGTGTTCTTTCTCCTCTCCTGCGCCCATAATGGTGTTCATGTTCATTTAATCGCCATTGGTTCGAGGAAATGTGTTTCCCGCGAAATTTTTAGAAGGCCACGTATATTTTCTCGGGAGTTCGGATATTTTATGTTTCTTTTTTGGCATGCAGATATGAACGTGGTCTCTGCTTAATAGTAGCTACTGTCATCAACTGATTCAAGTGGTGTCTGGCGTGAAGTTTTTTTTCTTCATTTTTACGTCAGCACGTCGCATACCAATGAAAGACGCTCAATCCGCCTTTCATTATGAAAACATTTTCAACTTGAAGTTACATGTCAAATTTTACGTCACCTTAAATTTTGACGTATTAGTAAACAAAGATCGTCATTGAAGATAGAGATTGAAGTTTCGGGCGTAGCACCCGGAGCAATTGAAGCTACGGCTCCAGCACGCAGAAATTTCGGCTTCTGGGCCCGGAACGGACGGTATCTCTATACATCCCGAAACTCTTTTTTTCCGTGTGCCTCGACGCATTTCGTCTCTATCTATCGATATTTCCCTTTTTGAAGCTATTATGATAAGCATCGATAATTAAGGTGCTAGTTGAGAGTACCCTGTTTATCGATCATTTCCCATAGGTTTAAATGACAGATCAATCGTTTTATCGCAAAGCACGCCACGCCACCGTTGCGATAGTTTTCAAGGTTCAGGTGGGATCTGGATAGATTATTTCATGAAACCGAACGCCATGTTCGTAGCATTACTTGTGAGCGCACGAGAGGGTAACGAAAATTCCGTCCTTTAAAGAGAGAAAGGAGAATTGAATTGTAAGACAAATCGAAATAAAGATACCTGGGTCAGTTCAGATTCTAACAAGTTACTAAATCTGTTCTCACTCCATTTTAATCCATTAAAAAAAATCGATTCTACGCGAGGCAGCCTGATTCTTTCTGATCGATATCGATGGGAAACTGCAAAACGTGTATTTTTTCCAGTCTGTTAAATTTTCGCTTCAATTTTATTTTATCAGAAAAGACCGAACATAGATTTTCTCTTGGAATTTTCACAGAATGATGTCCAAACAAAGGAGAAAAAGCATGGACACTTTTTTTAAAAAAAAGTTCGATTATTGAATCGATTTATCGAAAGATCTTGATTGATAGATAGCACTATAAACAAAGGATTTTGTCGATCAAGGTTGTTCAATAACGATTTAATAATCGACCTACTGCCGTGCGTACTTTTTCACTGTCAGGGCAAGCGAAGTCGGAACGCCTTCAATTCTTTGAATAGGCAACATGGACATCCATGGAGGACGATTAGTTGCATCAAGGCGCTTGTATGCATTTTGCGTTGCCTTATCACGCCCAGCCGACCATTTTCCATAACTTGAGAGGCAATATTCAATTCGAGTCGGATATATTTAGTGTTTCACTAGACCTTTCTATATTCACAGAGAAGTTCAAAATGTAAAGGCCGAGCTAATTTTTTTTTTTTTTTTTTTTTTACCTAGCATTTTTTCTTTTAAAATTTGATGGGGGAAGGGGCCGTGGAACGTGGTATGAGGATAGAAAAAAAATATGGTCACATGCTATAGGTATGGGAGTTCTGTGATTTCCTCATTGTAGAATTTTTTTGATTTAAACGTAGATGGAAAGATTTTAAATCAATTTCATCAGAGGAAGCTAGATAATATTTAACCACCTAGTAGTTTTGACCTAGCGCAAGGAAGGGGATTAACGAAATCAGAGAGAGGAAAGAATAAGTTGATCTATGACGCTCTAAAAATGAAAAGCGACATCAATAAAGTTTAACGACACGCTAGATGCCTCACACTAACACCGTTCGTGACGCCGCCTGAGCTAGTTTCATCTCGAAGAAATTGGAGATGAGAGAGTTGAGCGCCTTTGCTCCAGAAAAAATAAATAAACTCTCTTGATTTCTCTTCTGTTTAGATTTTCTGCTCTTCAGGTCAACTCATCCTACATTTTTCAGATAACGTAAACAATTCAGTATAAATAAAGTCCAGAATCTCCTCAATGAGTCGCAAAAAATAATAAATAAATAAAAGGAAGAAAATAATAAGCATCGCTAAAAAAAATTGAAACATTTAAATAGATTTATATTGTGTTGCACGTGACGATATGGGTTATTAACCCAATCCTGAATATAGCCCCGTGGCCAGCTGCCATTCCCTGGATTTTAACCTCACACAAGTACGCAATGAAAATTATTATCGATGAGCTTTTCTGCCGTGCTAAGGAAAAACGCCGTATGAACATTCGAGAGTTGCCAAATTTCCTCTCAGAAAACAGCCATTTTTGAAGAAAGTTATGAATATTTTCCCTTTAAATTTTCAGGAACTCTAGGTGAAATTGAGAACAAAATTATCGGAAAAATTGGAGGAAAAATCTCTACAAAATTTCCCGTAAATTGATGATTTACGGGAGGAAATTTGACAGCGTCTGAAGGCTCATACAGCATTTTTCCTTAGCACGGCAGTTTTTCTATCTTACTCTGTAATATAAAATCATAAGAGTGACGCGTAACGTATAACGCCTGAGACTCGAAGCTTTTCAAGAGGTTGGACCGCGAAGTAAGCGGGGGGCGGGCCCCCTAATGACTACTGAGTTCAAAAATGTAAATCGTATAACGCTGCGAGATCATGTGAGCAACCACTGCAAAGAAGTTAATTTTAATGATAGAATTCCAAACAGCTCTTCTTGGTTAGCGGTGAAAGTAAAATTCAAACATAAGATGGACTGGGGGAACGGGAAAACAGAGGGAAAAATCGCGTAAAACAAGAATGTAAAAGAAGAACAAAGAAATAAAAAAAAAATCCGGCGAAGTTGTTAAGTTTGTGTACCATGACAGGGGTATATTATGTATGCGTGAAGGAACTGCGGAGCGAGGAGTTAGTCTTGTCATTTTTTCATGCGAAAATTGAGATCAGTCTTTGGTAGAAGTTCAAGTTCAGGGTCAAATAAAGTGTGAAAGTAGCAATAAACGATGAATTCAAATTTTAAAATTCTCGAGAAGAAGAAAAAAAAACCAAATCCGCTTATTTTGATTCGTGCTGCATATGATTCGCGATTTCTTTTTTCATTCATATGTGTTTCTCATGTTAATATTTAAGTTTTAAACGATTTCAGAAGGTGACTAATTCGTCCTTCAGAATTGAAGGAGCGTCCACAAAATAATGAACCGCATTAAGCTCCATTAGCTACTGCCAAATTTAATCGGACAATGTTATTTTGTACATGGAAACGTTCGGGCAGATTTTTGTGTAAATTTCGGTGAATTTTCTGCAGAGTACCTACGAAGCAAATTCCCTATAAAATTTTCTGAGGAATTCGCACAAACGTTCTCTGGTAAAAATTTGAATCGCCCATCAGATAAATTTGGCAATAGCTGATGTCGCTTGGTTCCTTTCTGCTAAACGCGTACCAAATGCTAATTATTTATATTTTTCTTTTTTAACTCATTAACGGAGTTTGTTTCAAATCAAAAATATTTCACTATTAATTTTTTGGTGCCTTGTAACATTCAAGTCTCCCGTAACATGCTTCCTCCTCTCTAAAAAATCTCATATGGTATTTGACCATGACACTTCGAGAGCGCTCGCTACACCTCTGAATTTGAATCCATCATTTATTGTAAATTTTCAAGATGAGGGGCGATGGATGAAAATAACGAGAACGCAATGGAGGGTTAAAATGCAATGGTAGTGTAAAAACAAACGATACTGAACTGATCAGATCCGGTAGATTTTGAACGACTAATGGTTTCTCGAAACTACACCTACAATTAAATTACTCTGTATTTTTATGAAAATTATCATGTTAGCATCTGGATGCATATGTATATAGATATATTTCCCATCCCTTTCTTTTCAAATCATTTCTACGACAAAATATCAATGGTTATCATCGGTCAACAAAACTACTCGTATATTTCGTCACTTTCGATGTGTTTAGATGGCTTTGCGCTAGGAAAAAGTGAATATATACAAAGATATTTGCATTTCTACGTCTATAACGTTGACAAATAGCTGCTTAGAGTAAGGATTTAAGTATGAAATTACAAGATTAGAATTCCACCCAGTTCAGCTCTCTGTAAACCTCGTCTCGTTTTATAAAAATCATCTCCGAAACAGAGCACTTCTTCCTTTTATCCCAGAATTCTTGACAGATGAATGACCCCTCTTTCTTCATCTCATAAATACCTGACCACGCTTTCTTTCATTACCTCAAACTTTTGAAAAGGCTGTAAATTGAGGTATCTCACATTTTATCGCAGTCTGTACTGGCATTTCATCCGAATAAGAGTGCTACCCACATGAAACGTTTGGAAATGAGCAAAACCTGTTTCAGACTACAGGTCGAACTTTATAGAATACTTTTCAAATTGTTTTTTAACTTGAAACTCATACCTTCGGATTCAACTAATTATGTAAACTGAAAGTTTAATGCTAGAAGTAATTTTGAGGAGATTTTAAGTTCAGAGATTTTTGAAGGGAGCGTCTCAAAGAGCTCATCTTCAGTAAAATTTTATAGGTACTCATGGTGCCGGATCATTCGGTTAAAAAAGTAATAAATACAGTGGCGATAGTAAAAAACTTCACTCCCCATGGACGGATAAATTATATTTATTTTATTTATACTGCAAGCTACACGCTTGCAGTTACCTAGCAACCTATGCAGATTGTGAAACCTATGCAGTGAAAACTTTGGCAGTATTATTGGTAGATGGTGCGTTTGAAATTCGACACAAATCAACTGCAATTTACGATCTTTACTCGAAGAAAATTCGACTCGTGAACTAACGGATCTGGTTAGTTCTGTATCCTAGGGGAGAAAATAGTGTAAATGACCTATATTGGTACCCTGGCCTAGAAATGTTCCCGCTGGGCTACTTGGTGGATGGGATTCAAACCCTGAGTCTTCAGATGATGTACTCTTTCGATTACCGGTGCGCTGTTTCACTTCACCTTGATCATTGGAGGACTCCGAAGAGCAGGAACTGGACTCGTCATCGCTTTCGTCACCTGAACATTCTCCATCCTCTTTGACTTCCTCTTCTTGCGGCGACGAAGAATTCTTGTCACTCTCACTTCCCGTTTCAGCGCGACTCTTATCGTCAGAACTTTCTGAAGTCGGCTCTACACATCGCGAATCGGCGCCTTTCGTAACGCCACTTTTCGAGCAAATTTCTCCACCTTTCACTTCTTTTTTAGATTCCTTCACTTGCACTACTTCATCATTATTTTTCGAGACCTCTTTTACCTCTCTTTCGTTTTGGGATGAGATTTCTACTACATTGTTTGCCTTTTCATCCTTTGCAGGTGACTTCTTATTGGTTTTTTTGGTGATGATTGGCGAAATGTTTATTACATCAGCTGACTTTTCTACTCCTTGCGTGTCTCCTGGTTTTGGCTTTATCATACATGAGCTATCAAGTGGTTCACTAGTTTGTATCACAGGTGCACAAGTACTTTTCGAGGGTTTTTCCACCACTTCAACGACTCGAGATGGCTGCTCAACATTTTTTGCCTTTTTAGCTCTTGCAGGGGACTTTTTATTCGTTTTTTCAGAGATGATTGGTGGGACGTTTATTAAAGCAGACGATTTCTCTGCTCTAAGCTTGCCCTTCGCTTCTGGTTTTATTGAAGCTGAGCTATCAAATAACTCACTTGTTTGTATCACAGGTGTATCGCTTTTTGAGTCGTTGGTTATTTTAGTCTCATCCACGGACGTTTCGTTTTTTAAAGTCGTCTTGTCATTATTTTTAACTGCAGAAATTCTCTTGGCAAGCCCATGGTTTTTCTTGTCAGGTTCTTTTATCTTCGAAACGCTAATTTCGGCGGGACAATTATTTTCCACTTTTTCTTCTCGCGAGCTTAATTGATTTTTACAAACCGTTTGATTGCTAACATACGGATGTTTATCGTTCGCTTTTTTTCTATCATCCTTTTCATTGGTCGAAATTTCATTCGAAGGGTTAATCTTCTTTGGTTGGGTTTTACATGATTTGATTTCTTCAGATACTTTAACGGTAACAGCTTCCACGGGCATACTTTCATGGTTTGAAGTTTCGCATATCACAGTGTCTTTCTGGGTAATCTGCACACCTTTTACTTTAGTACCTTCATTGTTTTTCACTACATCGACTTTTACCTTTTTATTATCAGGCAATTCGATTTTTTTCAAGCACTGTGGATTTTTTAAACCATCTAAAGATTTTGTTTGTGAAGTTGGGGAGTTTTCAGAATCCTTCAGTTTCTCTAACTTCTGTTCCGATTCTTTGAAGTCAATATTTTGTTTTTCTGGCTTTAGATGTATTTTAGAATCAATATAATTTGTTTGAATGATCCCTCCATCATTTTCTATCCTTGAGATCTCGGGTGTTTGCTTTTTAATGTCCAGTGCCTTGAATTTCCAGGCTTTATCATTTGTTTGGTTTTGCACAGGTTTAGACTGCTCAGACGTTCTATTAGTCATGGTTTTATGCAAATTTACGTTTTCGACGCATGGCGCAGCTAAATTTTCTGTCATTACCTTCTCTTTCTTCTGCACCTCCGATGATTTTTCAAGAGGCTTATCTTTAGTGATTGAAATATCAACCGCAGATTGAGAGGTTGTACGGGAATTAAACGGATCTGTTTCTTGTTTGCACTTTTTATTTGTGACGGTGTTCTCCATTTTACCTACTTTCAATGCAGGTTTTCCTGATACTCCTTGCGGAGAAACTGTAGATCCTAAGGTTTCAACTACTTTGTTGAATATTTGTTTAGCCTTACTATTCTTATCATTTGATTTGAGACTGACGTCTTGTAACCGAGCATTTTCCTTGCCTGAGTCAAAATTCCTGACCTCGAAGGAAGCTTCAACTTTCGCCTTCGAATCCTCTCCAGGGGCAATCGTATCTGCTTGAAATATTGGAGACAGACAACTATTCCCGCCATTAATGATAAGCGGCTTCAACTGTGCATTTTTACTCGATAAGTCTTTTTTCTTCCGTTTCACAGGCTTTTTATTAGTGCTGAGATCAATGTTTCCACTGGCATTGCTATCTTTATCAGAAAACACGTTTTCAGTCTTATTTTGTGCCGAGTTATCACTCAGTTTGCTCGCCGACTCGTAGTCATCATTGGTAGTCACCGTCACTTGATAATCGATCAATTTCGGTGCCTTTCGCGCTGGCGACTTCAAGGACTCCTCTATTTCGACTGAAAATGCCAATTTAGGTTTTTTCCCCTCGTTGATAGGCGGTGTCGGCTCGCTATCAAGACTCGACTGTTTGGGACTGAGCTCAACGCTCTGCTCGAGCACCGTCGGGAGTGCTATTTCCTTGGGCTTGCTCCGGGTAGCGAACCTCTTCTTGCTCTCTTTGAGGTGCTCCAAGGACAGATCCTCCGCCGGGCCGTCACCCGAAGCCGGGAGCCGGATATAAAACTTCTTCCTTGAGAGGAATAATTTCGGCTCGGATCTGCGCCTGGCCGTCGCCGAGCGGATCAAATTCTCCTCGGGTTTCTCCACCTGGACATCTCCGCTGCTGCTCCGCCGACACTTGGGATACTCGTTGCTCTTCATCTCCTCCAAGATGAGGTTGTCGAACCAGGCCTCCTCCTCGCGCAAGATATCCTCGCTGACGGAGGGCTTCCGGAAAACGACTTGTTCCGGGATCGGCTCCACCTCGGAAGGGATGCTGGGTCTCTTGGTCGAGAAGTATCGTTTGATCGAGCCGCTTCCTCGTTTCGCTTCTTTATCCGCGGCGGTCGTCGTCTCTTTCTCGTCGGCCTTGTTTCTGATCAAGAACTTCTCGACGAGCCGCTCCCCGGGCGTTTTCCGTCGGGATTTCGGGCTTTCTTTCTTGCGGAGCGTCTGGATGCGGACGACGGTGCGGCCGCGGTGGATCTTGCCGAAGACGGGACTTCCGGCCTTGGCAGGGCGCGTCCGGGAAGGAGAGACATTGATGCTCTCGGTATCCCGGAAGTGAGGTCGCTGCAACTGGAAATGGGGCTTGGGGAGTACGCGCGATAGCTCGCGGTACACCGGCGAGACGGTCTCGGATATGGACGACAACAACGGGAAGTACGGTCGCCCCAAACTCCGGCCTCCCGAACTGCTACTCGACGACGATAGCGCATTCGTTGGCGAGTATCCGGACGAGTACCCGAAGTTCCGGCCGAAGGTCGGCGAGTACGGCGGCGGGGAGAAGGGTGGCGAGTAACTGTGGACCGAGTAGTCAGAGAAATAAGGCATTGTCGCAACCGACGAGGAATCCTGGCTTGGAATCTCTGCTGCTGCGGCGGCTCACGGCATCCAGCTCTCGGTTATCCCATAGTGTTGCAACTGCCAGGAACTTGCGACACGAATCCGATACGGCACTCTTTCACTGTCACTATCACAACACTAATCCAGTGGGAGCGTGATCGAGTACGAAAGCCGACGGGGTCACTCTAGCTCCTCGGTGGAGAAAAGTGATGGCGCTCCGGGTCCGGTCGAGGAAGCCGAACTCTGCGACTCGCGGTCCAACACTGATGAGGCGTCTCGTCCGATCCGGCGATGTTGGATGCGGCCGCCGCGGCGTCGGGGGAGGGGGACGGGGCTGCGGGGCAGTTTCTGCTGCTTCTCCACTGCTTTATGCTAAACGTGGAAACTAGGAAGGGACTGCAACGGGGTGAGGAGGCGAGGGGTCGGGCAGAAGAGCAGAGAGATTCAACTTGAAAGCACTATTTATAGGTCAATGATGTCATGAAGAAAGGCGGCTAATGAGCCAAACATAATATCTTGTCCAAATCTCCCACCGTCCATCGCGAAAATGATAACAAAAACAATGTTGGGAGCCCGTCTGGCGTCGTTAACACCTGCTGCTAGCAATGACCTTCCGCGCGACGCAGTTACATGTGTAAAAGTGTGAGTGCAAAATCGAGTACCGTAAGAAATATCGTTCATCTGTCTCCGAGGCTTTAGCTTCGGTCGTCACTTCCTATGCGAATTCTTCTTCTTTTTCATCTAGCGCTGGTACTGCTCGGGCTTTAAATTGTCAGTTTGTTTACATGCTGGCTTACAGAAATGCCCGCTCCCTGCTTTAGTGCGCAAATTCGTTTTTCACACGTCCATTAATGGATGAATTTTCGACTGCTTCGGCGGTGACATAGGGTCATTAACTACGAAAAACAGCATGACTTGCATTCTGCAGAGCTTAACAAATAGGAAAACTTCCCTAGAACCGTTTTGTGACAAAGTTTTTACTCTGACGCATTCTGCAACATTAAAAAAAAAAAACCCTTTAAAAGACGCAGAGCTGATACTGATTTCGTCTTTAAACTCAGTCAGTGGAAACTCATAACCTGGTGAGCGTCATCAAGTGCTGCTAAGATCATGTAACTGTCTCTCTCATTTGATGAGAATCCGGTAATTTGAGAATAACGGGTTCTTTCTTGAAAATAAGTCCAACCCTTGGATAAAATTCCACAATTGAAAAGTCCATGGGGCGACGGCATTTAGGTTTAATTATATTGAGAAACATTATGCACAGGGCCGGATTAAGGGGATGGCCACATGGGCTGCGGCCCATGGCGGCAAAATGTAAGGGGCGGCAAATTTTGCAATCTTTTTGAATGTAGGTATCAAAAAATGAGAGCAAAAAATCGGTTTCAGAAAATAAATTACAAACGAGAAAAGGCGACAAAATCTCTCATGACCTGAGAGTGAAAGTATAGTAATTTCTAATTTTGTCGTCTTTTGGTGTTACCGGTGACACACCTTTAATTAGTTGAGTTAAGAGAGAAACCAAACACGCAATTTAACCTGGAACGGAGCGGTGCGGCGGCGGTCGGCATGAAACGCATAGCGCCTACAAGACTGCATGAATACTTCACGCATTGCGACAAACACACTGCGGTCAGCAGCAGTCGGCTTGAAACGCATAGCGCCTACCAGACTGCATGAATACTTCACGCATTGCGTCAAACACACTGCGGTCAGCAGCAGTCGGCTTGAAACGCATAGCGCCTACAAGACTGCATGAATACTTCACGCATTGCGCCAACACAGTGCGGTCGGCGCAGCGGCGGCGGAAGTTAAAATATTTAACCACATTTATGTTTGTTCTGTCATAATTTTTTCGTTCGTTTTTTATAAATGGAAGGCCTTGTCCAAACAGGGATGGGTTTACGGAACTGAACTTTTGTTAGTGTTGATATGGCTTTCACAAAAAATGTGCCCAACACGAGTAAACGCGTCTCATACACCCCTCCCCCACCGGCACTTGATGGTTTTTATAGATCGTGTTCGACAGATCACACAGGTGAGATTTTATTGATTTCGATTGGTTCAACATGTAAACACAGCCTCAAAAGTCAATTTAGAGTTAAAGGGTCTTAATTGATCAAATTTTCATTCTCTCGAGTACCAAATGGCAATGAAAAGTGAAATTGTTAGGAATTTTATCATTTTCAACTTTTCCTAATTAACTCTTAATATTTTTGTTTGAGGTTATGTTTTATTGTTTTGAACCAAACGATACATTGAACCTTCGTCGAATAAAATCCGGCCCTGTATGCACCATCTTCACAACACCACTAGCAACTTATTAGGTTTTCAATTTTTACTCTTCAAATATTCATAATCATTCCCCAGCATTTCTGAAAATTGGTACATGCAAGCTCAAGCTTTTAACGTTAAAGACTAAAATAGATACATTTTATTTTTCCTAACAGAAAATTCAAAGTCAACCCTGCAATCCACTGTACCTTTATTTCAGCATAACTTTATTTCATCCGAAAGCATCCACTGACCTCTCTAGCACTCAAAAATGCATAGTGCTTTCATCAAGTGAATATATCAACATATTATGAGTAAATGGGAATGGCTCAAGATCTTGGAGCTGAATCATCATTTTAACACTTTCATTCAGTCGTAGTATTTTCAGCATTTGTTCTCTTCTTACATGGAAAAAAAAAAAAATCAAAACTCTGAAAACATTCGTGTTGAAGATTGGAAGACTTATTTGTACAGTGTACCTACGAACAATGCAAGCTTCGCGATTTTGCTTTGTGTTCTCCGCACAGATATGGTCACTAACCACAAAGGAAGAATTTCCTTCGGGCGCGGGAAATTTGAAAATTCAAGATAAAGACTGCGCTTATAGTGCGTTAAAAAATAAACTCCTGATTTTTTTATGTCCTCCTTGTGATTTTTGGCGTGATGCAGTTTCACAGATAAATGAATTGTTTATCTATAAGTGAAACTGAATCTCCCCAAATATGATAAAATATAGACGTATTTAAATTAAAAGGGACTATACGCATTGTAACATGAGCCCTGTCATGGATGTATTGTTATGGATCTCAGGGCTCATGTCAAAATAAATATGGTTCCTTTTGATTAAAATACGTCCAAATGATGGTGGATGGGCCCATTATTCTTCAATAAAGGGCACTCCAGGAACTAACGTTTGCACTTCTATTCAAGTCAGTTGAAAAAATTTCAAAATTTCCTCTAATTTTGTTTAGAACGATGCTTTATCGCACTGATGATGGATTAATTTACCCTGTCTACGAATTGGATCTTTTTCAGAAAATATGAGCTGCTTGTTATCTGCCGTTGTCAAATTTGTTATCAAATTACACTTTTTTTCATCAGTTAAAGCCACAGAGTTACACCCAATGATTCTGCAATTTGCTGTTCTATCCTAGTTCTGTGAAATATACAGAGAAATCCGTATGTTACTCTCCTCCATAAAAAAAGAGGAAATAAGGGAGAAAATTAGAATGATACAAGATATGCAAGGACTGTTCTAGTAAATGGCCGTTTTTGGCCACAGCTCATGCCTTTAAAATATTGAACAGAAAAGACAGTTAGCCACGCCCAAGTTAAGTATAAGCTGATAAATTTTATCATTTACTTTTTGATTTCATGTCTTTTTTGAAAAGTTGTTTGTAATTTGTGAGAATTATATGGATGGGTTACAAAAATCGTTAGAACGGACAACGAATGCAGATAATAGAGAAGCAGATGTTCCAAGCTAGATTTTTATTTTGGGTATTTAAAAATAAGACGAAATGTGTTAATAGTTATTCATGGCTGTTTTTCATTTAACACTCAGTTAAGTAATACCCGAGATATATTTTCGAAAAACGAAAGAACTGAGTGTGGAAGTTCCCAATTTATCAGAATTCGTCGAATTAATATTGCCAACGGGTAACTCTTTGGAGGCGTCTTCCTAAAGAATACCTTTCTTTCAAAGTGTATTTAAAGTAATTAGAATGAGCGTGGCTGACTAGTTTCACTCGTCAGTTTTTTTTATTTTTTTCCCCTGACTCATGCTCATTTTTTCCGGCTAGTTAATCGCACACCTTTAACCGCGCTACCTTTACAAACAGGCGTAAGAGTCACTAAAAAACTCAATGTGCTCGGACTCTCAAGACCTCGCGTAATATTAGAATGGAGAGTATAGCGTCCTCACAATTCGTCGCTCGTCTAACGGAAGGGCTCATATTTCCGTTTCCACAAGAGCCCTGAAAAGCATGGAATCGTATAGGCGGCAGGGCTCATCTCAAAATGTGGTCAAGCTCTCCCGTCATAAGATCAACGAATTTTTTCATGCTATATCCGCTAATATATTAAAGACCGCGCCGTGAACTCGATTTATTAAATCAGATGTTTTATTCGATTGGCTCAAATCCAGGGGCAGCTTGGACGCTGCGTCGGACGCCTTCAAAATGCATTTATCAATTTGTATTGGTCTTTCCTCACTTCTGAAAAACTTATTTTTAACTCATTTTTACGCTGCACACAACTGATAATTACATTTCGGTTCGAAAATTGACTACATCTCTGTTCTTTGCACTCTTTTTTAGTAAAGTCCTTTAAAATCATGACATAAGAGCCAACGGATTCATTTAAAAAAATGCCTTGTCCATGACACCAAAGACACACTCCTTGGGGAATTGACCTAGGTTCATGGGTAAAATCGGAAGTCTTCTGTCAACTGTGCGAATATCTCACATGGGTAAGTCTATGTAGAAACCTAGACACACTTCTCCTTGCTCGTGGTGTTTCAAAGTCCCCCATTTTTTTATCATATTTTTATGAAAATATCACCATCTTTTCTTGCATGCTGTATTCAGAAAATATTTCCCTCTCTACATCTCTCCTGTAAAAACTGTACTCCGATGCCCTAAAAAAATGAGCTTATAAGAAATGCAATTCCAAGGATGATAAATTTTATTCCTTGATAAGTAAGCAGAAATTGTTTGCCTCTCATTGAATTATTTTCTATGAATTATTCTTAAATTGCTTCACTCTCAATTAAAATTTAACAACCTCTTTTGCTTCTATGGGCTTACTTCTGTTATCGTGGAAAAAATTACAAGTAATTACAGATTGAAAGTCAGAAAAAGTGAAAAAGAAAAGGGAAAAACAACATATAAAGGTTGGTAAAAGGAACAATTTCTGCAAATTCAAAGGAAAAAGCGATACAAATATAAATGAAACTTTGAGAGATACCCTCATAAAAATTGACGATAGGAGCTGCGTTT